GATATGAAGTGTTTATCACCCGTTCCTCTTCCAACCCAGAACGAGTCCAATCCAGCACAGCAATAACCATTGGAAGTGCTCTTTATTCCTTACCCCCACCTATACCAGGAGCGCTACTAATAAAATCAAACTCCACTGGCTTACGTTGGTCGACAGACCCTCCGTAACCCAGCACTTAGAACACGGAGCGTACGAAGGCTTGCAGTCAGGGCAGCGGTTTCTTCTGCTTGGTCGTGCCGCTGAGCGGGAGCTCAGCTCTGCTGACGCGCGCCGCTGAGGGCTCTGCTGACTCGGGGCGCTCGCAGGTACCGCAACGGTGACGCTCGTGACCGCCAGCCCGTAGCATCAGGGGTGCTCCCAGGGGCTTGGGGCAGATTTTCAGTTTTTTGCATTTCTGGAGTTTATATTCTCTTATTTATCACTTGAGAAACAGTAAGAAGTAATTCATCAATAGATAATTAACCTGTTTGCTGACTTGGTTTGACACCTGTGAGCTTTCCGCAAGAAATGGATGGAAAGGATTCAAATGGCTGATTCCCTTTGGTTATGGAGCCAAGAGATAGCAAATCTGCTTATAGGGTATCAAGCGCTGGATGAAAAATGCCCCAGCCCTGAAAACACTGTGCTGAACCAGAGTTGCTCAGAAACTTCCAAAGGGGTAGCTTGGGTTTGCAAAATTTATGCCAGCAGAGAAATCGCCTCTCCGAGCCCCGGCCTGATCAGCCTACCCTCAGATAGGCAGGGCTCCTACCGACGCTGCAAGCCCTTTGGCACAGGATTTGTCTTGGATTCCATATCTTCACAGCACCTGATGAGGTGTCCAGGTTTCGGCTGAGACAGAGTTAATTTTCTTCCTCAGCGCAGACCAACAGACTTTGGGGAACTACTAGCCTGAAGCTGAGGTTTGCATTACAGTCTAAAATAAATCCTTAAGCCTGGACTATCTTGCACTTTTAATCAGATTCGATGCTCTTGAGGGCGATTATGATCGGGATATCCCCGATACTGCCCACAGCTCTCGTAGGGGCAATCGCAAAGACGGGGTCGAACGCTCGCCAGGGAGGCAGACGGCGGGGGACGGGGCGCTGACCGCCGGCAGCAGCCTGGGAGGCACAGCGGGACCTCGGCAGCCCCCTCCGCTGGGACGTGGTGTCCCTGGAGCAGGTCCCCCGCAGGTCCCGTCTGCTCCGGCCTGGGAGGCTTTTCGGGACTCGGCTGGGCAGATCTGCGCTGGTGCAGTGCTGGCGACTCGCCCGCTCCAAGCGGGACACTGCCCTCGGTGGGCTCTGGGGGTTCCATCCAAGCCACGTTTCCCTCGTTGTGCGCAATGCCCAGGTCCCCTTGTACAATAAAGTAAAAATGTTAATAAGAATGATAACTTAAAAAGGAAATTGATAGCCAAAACACTGGAAAAAACGAGATTAAAAGTATGAAATTTTGAAAGTAGTTGCTCTGATTCTGTTCTGTTCTGGTTTTACTCCAGTATTGCCAAATCCACACATCGTATCAGATCAGATCCAAACCCCATGAATTTAGGTGAAAAAAAGTGCTCCATTATTTTCAGCTTCTTTCTGCTCCAGGGATCTACTTGGGTTGCATTTTCAGCTTGATTTTCCTCAACTCAGTGGGGAGAAAGGAAGAAGTAGGGGAACACGAAACTTTCTTCAAAAAAGGCACCTGAAATTCTCATACAGCCAGACGTTTCTAGGAACCGGAGTTTTAAATAGTATTTCAAGCATCAGTATCGGGAAATTCCCCATCGAAATGCGAGGGCTGATCGCGCCAGGGCAAACCCATTTTTTTCTTAACAGCAAAGACAAGGAGAGGGGAGGACCAGCCCCCGCGCTCTGGGCTGTAACGTCAGGGAACTACGGAGGAGCCCCCAAGCCCAGCTGCTCTCAGAGCAAGGGCCCGTGCCGCGTTTCGCCTGCAGCGCACGTCGGGAGGGAGCGTGCCGACGCGCGGCTCGTTAATGGGACGGGTGCGCGGGGCAGGGTGCGCAGGCCGCGAGAGCGGCGCTGGTAGCCCGAGGGTGGCCCGGACAGCCGCCCACCGCTCAGCCCTCCGGTGAGAACAGGGATGCTGTCAAGCCCGGCTGCACCGTCGGCTGTTTCCCCTAGATGTCCCCATTTAATATTTGGTTTCAAGTCGGTTTTTCAGAGGATTTGAAGTTTTGCCAGGGAGAGGATGCAAACCTTCACACTTGACACCAGTTGGGTCACATCTTCTCTAAAACAAATTCGTGGCGGGTGCTCGCGGTGCTGATACACTCAAATTCCTGCTACTGGGAGTTTTTAAAATATTTGTGTTTGGCTGTTTTCACATGAGATGAACTGGGGGAAGAAGGAAACGTCCCTCGGGTGCCACGGCAGTTCAGGGTTATGTTTCTACACTCGGAGAGGTGCCTGGGCTCGGCCCCAGCAGCGAGCGCAGCCCCTGCGGCTGCCATTGGCCTGCCCCGCGCCGCAGCGGCCGCTGAGCAGTTCCAGACCTTTCCCTCCAGGTCCTCAAGGTTATTTGTATCCAGCGTCGCCCTCGGACGCTCCGGCCTCCTCCTGCTGTGCTGGGGTGGGGGGCACGGAACACGCGGCTCCCTGCCTCGCCCAGGGACACGGCTTGCCAGTGGGGCTGAACCGAGCCGGGCTGTGCTGTACCATGCTGCACCGGGCCATGCCCTGGCTGAGCCGTGCGGTGCTATGCCATGCCATGCCATGCCCGAGCCGTGCTGTGCCATGCCATGCCCTGGCTGAGCCGTACCATGCCGGGCCATGCCATGCCATGCTGTGCCCAAGCCGTGCTGGGCTGTGCCGTGCCCTGGCTGAGCTGTGCCGGGCCATGTCCTGGCTGAGCCGTGCCATGTCATGCCATGCCGTACCATGCCCTGGCTGAGCCATGCGGTGCGGTGCGGTGCCGTGCCATGCCTGAGCCGTGCCAGGCCGTGCCATGCCCTGGCTGAGCCGTGCGGTGCGGTGCGGTGCCGTGCCATGCCTGAGCCGTGCCAGGCCGTGCCATGCCCTGGCTGAGCTGTGCCATGCCGTGCTGTTCCATGCCCGAGCCAGGCCGTGCCCTGGCTGAGCTGTGCCATGGCATGCCATGTCATGCCCTAGCTGAGCCGGGCCGTGCCGTGCCGTGCCTTGGCTGAGCTGTGCGGTGCCGTGCCATGCTATGCCATGCCTGAGCCGTGCCTGGCCGTGCCATGCCGT